GAGTCGAGTCAAATTTTGGAGGCGGCGCCATAAATAATGCAGCGAGCAAATCCAAATCCTGCAGTTGCCACGAATCACATCGAGGCCAGAAATGTTCACGCATATTACAACAAAAAGAAGTAAGACGAAGGCGGGTATGACCAACCTGCTGATATCTATAGGAAAACAGTGAAGCACTCTAATCTCAACTTAGAAACTATCGAAGATATATGAATATAGGAGTATACCGAACATGAAAGACCTGAGCTTTAATCAAAGCAAGCAAAGGGACAGAAGCTGTCAAGGGAAACCCATATACCCTCTTAACAGTTAAAAGAGCATGAAGTGCAGAACAGAAGCGGGACGGCAAGATGAAAATTGAAATGAAACGAAACTCATTTGGATATCCGGGTAGTTCGGCATTCCGTTTGCCCGGCCAGAAACTTTTCCCAAATGCATATTAAAATACGCAAGTCCCACAGATTTTTTGTTGCTGGCCAAATAAATGCCTGGCCGTAAAAGTAAACGACAAACGAATGGGCCAAACAATAAAAAGCAAGTTCACGACTTGCGACACACGACAAACGAACGTGAAAACGGACGATGAGAAAGAGAGTGAGTGAAGGGAAGCAGAGAGAAATAAAGAGAGAGGGGGGTGGGATATTGGCCATGTCATGTTCATGTTGACTAATGTTTAACGAGCACAACTTGTCCTTGTTGATGTTGTTTATGAACCTGCCAGCGACTTCGACTGCGCATCAACCACCCTCCGCCTCTTCCTCTTCCACTTCCTCTGCCACCCCCACCCCCTCCCCATCTACATCACCATGCCTCTCCGACTATTCAAATCCCTGCGGTGCCCGGCTGCGTATCGCGGCGAGCATTGACGCGCGTGCCTTGCGACTCGTGACTCGTGACTCGAGACGAGGCAGCATTTCAAATTGATGAAGTTGAAAGCCCAAATAATGTTAAGGGCTGCTTGAGAGAGTGCGGAGGGAGGGGCGGGCTTACCAGCCCCCTCAGGCAGCAATCGGTGTCAATTGTGTAATTGCCGAATGTTGTTTTCAAATATTTAATTGAAAGGGTGTTTTGCGCATTATCCTTGCTGTTGAAGGACTTGCCATTTCGTGGTTACACGCGTATCCTGTTACAAATCCAGTGTGAATGTCGTTTTGCCTGCTCTTTAATATAATTGTTATCCGCTTGTCCCTGCCAGGGGGTGTTGACTGTTTCTCTGTTTGTTTTCCCGTTTGCCTTGTTGTCCTCCTGCAGCGGCAAGTGTTGAGATTTCGATACAAATGTTAACCCCCGGCACGAGAGTTACAGCAGATGCTGCAAATAGATAGGAACACTAAATAATCCTGGGAAAGTTCCGACAACTTGAGCTCGAATAATCTGAAAGGATTTTGCAATGTCCGCTCTAATTGCTTTTTAAGTAAAATTTTTTTAGGGTTCTTATTAATGCTGGAGCATCAATCAGTCAGTCAATCAGGGCTATTTGCATAAATTTTAGTACAAACCGTAAATTTAAAGGGGGGCTGAACTCATTAATGAGTAAGTTAGTTGGCCAATCAGTCAATCCATCAGTCAATCAGTAAGTCGTTCATCTCAAGCCCAAGCTATCGCTATCGTTTAACAATGAGTCAAGTCAATAGTCATAAGGCAGTCAATCAGGAGTTTTTTGTAGGTTGACCTTCTCGCAGGTTTGACTCAGAAATTCGGCAAGTATTGAAGTCAAATCAATCAAATATAATGTGACTAACTTTAGTTTGCTCGATTGGTTGATATTATACTTTAACATAACTTCTTTAGATAATTGTTAATATTGAATACCGGTATTAATGTATTGACTGATTGATGACTAATAGTTGTAACGCAATGATAACAATTTCAATTGATTGAGTGATCGATGTACAAATAGTGTAAAAATTGATTAAAGAATTCGACTTTTACTGCACTTCAATCAATTGACAAACTGAATCTCATTTGAAAGGAAAACTGAACGGAAATGCTTTTCAAGCTTCACTTCTGTTGTGCTTAAGAGACACTTTCTGACCACTCAATTTGCAGGTGCTACAATCAATTTGATGTCCTTGTCGGCAGCTCGACCAGGACATCTCATGCTCACTTGAGCTGCCAATGAAAGGGCGTTAAAAGCAGCTTTCAATACAGTTTACGCAGCTCCGACTGGCGCCTAGCTGCGAGCCAGGCCCCTAGATGCCAGGGACAGACGACAGTCGATGACGACAGGACCAATGGACGACAGGAGCGAGCGGGCGAAAGGCAAATCCAATTGCATTTTAATGCAATTACAAGTGAAGCCCCTGGGAGGGCGTGCCATGGTGGTGCCATGGTGGGCCACTTGACACCACCCCAAAGGTCCACTTGACATTGACAATAAACAGCGCAGCATCGCCGCTGCTGCTACTGCTGCTGCATTGTTGAAATATGTCCTGCGTCCTTAATTTCACTTCTGTATTTTTTTTTTTTTTTTGCCGGCACTCGATTCAGCTGCAGCCTGTCGCAGATTAAAAGATATAAATTCATATTCCCCGAGCAGCCGGGGGTGATGCGTGCGAAGCGTGTCCGCTCTCCCTCTCCCCTCTCTCTGGCACTGTTGTGTGTCCTTGCTCATGCGCCTCCTGCCCTCCCCGAGGATCGATTAGCTTGTTAGGAATTCAATTTGAAAACATCGTATTCCATGGCTCGCTCTGTCATATATATATCTCTCTCTCTCTCTCTTCGGGAAGGGAATGCGTGAATGATGAGCCAGCACAGCTTTATGGCAGCCCGTTTGATTCTGGCAGCTCAATCGCTACAGGTGCAGTACAGGCACAGTGCGACCTCGCTGCCATGTCCACACCACTTAAAGTAATTAACAGCAAGAAGCTGCTGCTCACTTGTTTCTTTTCTTTTTGCCTTCTGCTGCTCAGGCTTGGCGTCAACCCCGCTTCAAGTCTGACGGCGGCTGTTTCTCGTCAGGACTCTGGACTCAGGACGTAGCGCTCAGGACATTATCACGTGCCTCGACATGCATTTCGCATCGAAGTGCGTTCAGCATTTGTCGTTAAGGAGCAATTATATCCCCGCACAAATCTTCTACGCAAACGAATAAAAATGATTTGATTTCTGCTTTCATTTTATGAATATTGAATGAAATTTTGCATTTACATAAGCCAACGTCGACCTCAAGTCACTCAGACAAACTGGAAAGGCTATGAGCTGAAGAGAAATGAGTTTCTCGTGAGCATAACATGAGAAAAATACTTTACCTATACTTTACCTATATCTATAAAGCTTTAGGATATTCAAAACATATTTATGAAGAGATAATATATTTTTATATAATATATAATAGATTTTTCTAATTTTCGCCTCGACTTTTACAGCAACAACAATTTAGCTTCGCATCGATTTTTCAACCCGTTTCGATTTAATGTGCATCATAATCGGTTGACTCCAACCGCTCAAACGGGTGAGCCTCATCTGTGGCCCCATCTGGGGTAATTTGATTGATGATAATGCTCAGAACTCGCAGATTAGACTTCCAGCGGTATTATTTATTGAAAGCCACTTCTAGTTCCATAATAAGCTGTCTAAGCATTTGACTTAGTTGACTCATTCAGTATATTATACTATGGATGGTCATAGATTAAAATTGATTAAAATAGAGTGCAAAAAAGCAATTATTTCTGAATTAAACTGTACTTTCAAGAGCCCCATTGTTTGTATTTGTGTATGTGTACATGTGGCGTTAGCTCAATGTTCTCCATTCCACACTGTAATAGTTCATTTGAACGATTCGTTCAATTGAACAAAATGGCGCAACACAAAAGTTATGCCAATATCAACGGTTAATTAACTTGCTCACATAGCCGTTCGAAATGGCCTCAAAACGAGATTCCCATGTTGGCTTCAAACACCAACCACAGGTGGCGCCACGCAAATGCGTAAGTACACATATGTAAGCACAGACATCAACCTAGCAAAGGCAGACACCCGGCGGTTTCAGAATTCCATGTGGGATTCGAGTTGATGAAAATCTGGTTATGAGCCGCTTTCTGTATTCTAACTGGCCAAGGCAGTCTTCAACTCATTTTGATAAATAAGGCTATTAAGTTATTGAAGATGATTTACGGTACACAGTGAAAAAGTCTGTAAAATTTGATTTCAGTGTGTTTTATTGACATTAAAAGGAGATTTTAGGAGCAATAACAGTATTCGGTATGATATTATATAGCTGATAGTATTCATTTTCATTTAATCCATATCCCTTTTTTATTATACCCTGAACCCATTAAAAATGGGAAATAAGTATATAACAGGCAGAAGGAGGCGTGGCAGACCAAACAAAGTATATATATTCTTGGCGACGAACTGAGTCGATTTGGCCCTGTCTGTCTGTCTGTCCATCCTTCCGTCCGTATGTATGAACGCGTCGATCTCAGAAGATATAAGAGCTAGAGACTTCACAGTGGGAAGTTTTTTAGGGCTACATGGTTGAGTACGGATGCCATTAAGTAGAAGAAGAAGAATGACTCTATCACCAAATATCGACGATAATGCTGTAATGCTTGAAGCAGCCAAGAGTGTTCCCATTGGTCGGCTGCAACGAGCCCTACCATATATAATAAGCCATATATAAAGGGCAGCAGTTGCAGCATTTCTTCAGTCGCCCACGCTGAGTAGAAAGTGAAAGTGAAGTGTGTGATCGTTCTGCAGACTTTGAGGAAATACTTAGAGAACACATTTAAGAGAAATACTTGGAATCAATACTAAGAGGAAATAGAAGAAATACTTAAAGGAAGTACTCAGAGGAAATACTTGATGGAAATACTAGCCTACTTGTACCTTTTGTCGGCTGTTTTGGTATACTAGTTACTTTATCCATTTCCATTTCATATCCATTAGACGGACGGATTGGATTATGTTGTATTTACTTCAAAAGGAAAATCTGAACGCAATAACGGTATTTTGTATCATTTGATACAGCTAATATATTTTTGTAGCACTTTTTGCTAACAGCAATAATAATAATAATAATAATAATGCTAGTCATAATAATTCATCAGTAGATTGTGTTTTCCAACTTATTTCATCACTCAATGCTTTCCAAAGTCTGCTGGCTCCACTGGATCAGACACCGTTTCGTACAGTTCGTTTGATTGATGCTGATTGACTCTAGGGTACAATAAATTGTTGTCGTTGTTATTGGCACTGGGTCTGGGTCTGGCATGAATGTTGAGATCTGTCGGATCGGGTCTATTCCCATTGTAGGCCAATCCATTGGCAAAGGAGTGATGCAGCAGGGCGTTACCCGCCAAGTGCTGCAGCTGCATCAAGCAACTAGTCAAGAAGATGGAGAAAAACAACCAATAAAAAGATCAATCAAAGTCAATCACGCAATCAGTTACCGTTCCAGTTTAACATCGCTGGACTTCTCTTGCATTTCAAATGCATCCAACAGTCCCAGATTATGGCCACTGTTCAGCAGAGCCGAGGGAGTGGCCCGTTTTCCATTGGTCCAACCGCGGGAATATTGGAAAGTCTGACCCATGCAGACCATTGAGAGGGTGAAGAGAAACAGCGGCAACAGCAGCAAGCGCAGCATGATTGAAGCTGGTTCTAAAACTGTCAAAATTAACGATATCAATCAATATCAAAATATTTGATTTTGATTGACTAATTTACAGATTGATCATTTTTAACTCAGATTAATGATTTAACGAGTGTAAGCCCTCTCAGTAGACCTTTCATACTTGCCTGGAATTCCGAAGATGAATCTGGCCAAACCACGCGCAACGAGGCTGAGGCAACGTCTGAGCTCTCGTGGCTCATACAACAGCTTTTATAGCCAAGGAAGCAGATTCCTGAAACCCCCATTCATGGCAATAAAAGTGGCTACCAAAATCGACAACGTAGGGTGGGCGAGGTGGTTGGGGGTCAGAGGTTGAAGCAAAAGAAGATTAACTGTGATTATTAGTTGCCAATTGTTTTCCATGCGTGGCCAAGGCGGCATTTAGCACCCAGTTGGGCCACGCCCACCACCAACCAGCACTTCGGCTGGCTGATCAAATTGAATGCATTTGCTGATTGGAATCCTTGCCACATGCTGTCGAGCCAGCAGCCAGTAGTTGAAGTAAAAGTCAAAGTGAAGGAAGGGTTACGGCATCTGTTTTCTAGTGCCCTGTAAGCATTTGATAATGGGTAAAGTAAGGGTAGTTTGTCTCAACAGTCAGTAGAATGAATCCTTCACAGATGGAACTTAGAAATTAATTGGGCTAGCAGTAGATTTCCAAATTTAATCCCTAGTATGAAAATGATTAATGCGGAATATGAATGGTTCGCTATTAGATCGGATAAGTCCAACGATCATCAATCGTCCGGAGGGCCCTACGTGCAAATATCTCCTATATACAAACCATACTAAACGTGAACGAGAGCATTTAATCGATTTCCTTAAAGCATTTTTATCAATTTATGTATACACGCATTTCTGTATGCAGGGTAGCTTATAGGCTATCAACAACCGAAAGCTCTAAGTTATTTTTATCGCAAGTACTTGGCCAGTAATTCCTTTGCCCGGCAGCAAAGACGTAGGCTTAGCTCAACCTAACGCACTTAACCAAAATAAAACCACAAGTCTAGAAAATGGCTTACATATACAGTTATATATAGAACTTGTGCAATGTCTGTCTATGGGGACAAGGTAGCGTATGTAGATTCGTATAGGGTGATTCTAATTGGCTCATAGACTAGTAATCTCTGTGCCATTGGCAGCATCCGCCTGGCCATTGACTTCCGATGACGCAACATGAAATAACAAAAATTTCAAGAAGAAATCAGATTCTATACAGATATTTATAACATGATTTGAAAACTTACACAAAGACTAGAACGTTGGGCACGTAGAAGATTTCGCCAAACAGAAAGTAGGCGCTTGGAAATGTGTCCTGAGTTTTATTATAGATCCGACTGTAGATGGGAGGAAATATGAATTTGGTGATGAATCGATGATTCCAAAGATGGAATAGAATTTGCCTAAAAAGGAGAACATAATATGAACAGTGTAACCATAAAAAGTCCATTGTTTGAATGCTCACTTACCTCAACTTCCTCCACAATGCTGCTGCCAATGGTCTTAATGGCAATAACTCGAAGACTGATAAAAATCTCCACAACGCTGGCCACATAAATCGATGTGGTGTCATTGGCAAAGGTCTGAAGAAATAAAATTTTGATATGATTCCGTTTAAACCAATTCTAGGCGTGCATACAAACATCACACGCGAACAGACAGTAGCCACAGCCGCGAGTATGCCAATGGAGGGATCCGAAACCTTGAGCATTTTGCTTAAGATAGTCGTACCTATTATAGTGGCCAAGAGAACTCCCACCGATGGATGGTACTATAAAGAGCGACCTCATTACCAGTCCAGTCAAACTTCTTTTCGACAAAGCTAAGCCACAAGCCACGCTCACCGAAGAGGCAACCCTCGCCCAGAAAGTAGGCCAGAAGAATCAGAAGTAACATAAGACGTCCGTGATTCTTACGCTTGATAAACGGAAATCGTAGGCATTCCTTCGCAAGGGTGGGATCAAAAAGTTCCTTCAGAAGCGAGGGTTTCACTGCAGGCACAGGCGAAGGCTCCACTTTGGGTGACGAAGAAGATTATACAGAGAATGGCAAAGAGTTGAAAGACTGCAGCATAAGTGAAGGAAACTGAAAGCAGAAAATCATAGAAAGATAGACCCATAAAATATAGAAGAGTAATTTTAAACCCACGTATGTAGCCAAGTGTATTGTACAGAAACCCACTGATGGCGCCCGAAAAGTAAGGTCAAAAACATGCTAAAGATGTCAAACCGAAAGACACGATCCTCCTCGGGCGTGGCTATCGTCATATAGCTATAGACCGCCATATAACAAAAGAGGCCGCCCCCAAAGAGCGAGGGCACAATCTCCTCCAGATACTTGCCGAACTCCATGGGCAGACTATCGAAGAAAATGGCAGAAATGAGGAGACCTACAGAGTGCTTCATATTAATAAACTGCATATCAATGCAGATGAATGGATCACTTACAGATAAATGATAGAGCTTCGCCCACGACGGGTATGATCATGCAGACCTTGTGCTGGTTGTAGCTGTCCGCCCAGCCTCCGGCGAAGAGCAGGATAATCAAAGGGCATATGCCGGCTAAATGATGGATGAGATGGGGTATTATATATTGTACTACCTGGGCGAGCATGCAATCAATTAAATGTGAGTAAGCCAATGGACAATTCTGTACAGCAGGCTTTAAAGTAGCCAAGAAGCAGATACAGAGTTTTATTGGGGAGTGACCGACTAGGAGATGCCCTGAGCCCCAAACATGCAGTCACACGAATACACGACAATCTATATGAATGTATTAATGCATAGCAAAAATATTCGTCAAGAAAACATGTTCACTGTATAATTCGAACTGGAATGCCTGCTTCCAGTTTATTGCTTGCAAATTTAAATTTAATCTGCGCGTGTTATACACAAAAGAAAAACTTTCCCGAGGGTAGCTATTTATACGCATTTATCATACGGTCAGGCAGACGAGCTCGGCTGTTGATCGGGAGCAACAAAATATATATATACATATATAAGGCCTTACTGCCTTGGCAAAGCCATTATAATATACCTAGATGTCTCTTACTGCCTTGGGAAAGCCATTATACCCTGTAAAGAAAATAATATACCCAGATGTGAAAGGCTTACTTAAAGGCGCACGTATTCCCGAAACATCTACAGACAGCTGCTGGGCCTCCGATTCGGCCTTGCAGACCATATTTTTGAGGCCTGGCGAGTTGACTTCCTTCAGAGTTTGTTCCAAAGAGTCCCCAATGGTCGTGTTTACGGACTTAGTACCATTGCATTTGATGCCGAACTCCGTTTTCTCTAGCATGGCCATGCAGGTGGCTGCATTGTAGCCCAAGTATTATCAAGTATTTTTGTCATATTTGAAATTTCGCTTTCGCTTTCGCTTTTGCTGTTGCTTTAGATAAGCTCGACAACCTGTCAGACCCAGTCTAACTTAGAACTGCGGTCTGCTCAGCTAGAAATACGACTCATCAACACTTAAACTTGATCAATTATTGACTTAAATATGCATCCGTTTCACGCTACAGTCGTATATATCTGACTGCTTAATACTCGCTCTGTAAAGTGGGCTTGATATCTTAAAATGAAATATTTATCAAATACTTCGAGTGATAAATAATTTTTTCCATGAGAATAATTGGCTCAAACGTTAGGGCTCACACAGCGGCTCGGCTTTTATTAGCAAAGGGTCCTGAGAATCCCATAACCGGCAATGCAGGTGGCTGCCAAAAACAACAATAGGGGTGGGCGTGGAGGTTCGGGTTTGAGTACTTGGCCAGCTTGTATCGCGACAGATTGTTGATTAACTGGGATTAGCTATTGCAAAAGAAAAGCACAACCCAAATTAAACCACAAATCGTAAGCGAATGGCATATATATACAGTTATATACATAGCGTATGTAGATTCATATAGATATATTCTAATTGGCTCATAGACTAGTAATCTCTGTGCCATCGGCAGCATCCGCTTGGCCATTGCCTTCCTTATTTTGGGCGAGTTCCACGGAATTCTTTTGTTCTTTGGACTTCCGATGACGCAACAAGAAATAGCAAAGGCTGCGGAAAAATAACAGATTACAGACAACATTTGTAACATTTCCAAGGTTCCTTAAAAACTTACACAAAGACTAGAACATTGGGCACATAGAAGATTTCGCCAAACAGAAAAAAGGCGCCTGGAAATGACTCCACTGTATTTCGGTATATCATACTATAAATGGGTGGAAATAGGAATTGGGTGATTGGTTCGATGATGCCAAAGATGGAATACATTTTGCCTGAAAAGCAGAATATAATAAGAGTAATTTAACCACCAGAGATCCATTGATTGAGAACTCACTTAGCTCATCTCCCTCCACAATGCTACTGCTGATGGTTTTGGTGGCAATGGCTCGCAGAAGGGCAAACATGTCCACAGCACAGCCCACATAGAACCACGTGGTATTATTCGCAAAGGCCTGAAATATTAGATTAGATTAGATTAGATCAGATTAGATTTTGACAAGAATATATTTATTTCCATTTTCATGTTCACGTACAAGTATCGGACGCGAACAGACTATGCCCAGAGAGGAGAATATGGCAAGGGAGGCATCCGAGAACTTGAGCCGTTTGCTAAGAATGGCAGTCCCTATGTAAGTACCCAATATTGCCAGAAGTCCGTTGATTGTATTAAAAACGGAAAGCACAGTACCATTCCAATTCAACTTTTTTATAGTGAAGGGATACACAAAGTCACTTTCAGCAAAGGAGGGGCCCACGATTAGGAAAGTCGCCAGAACAAGCAGATTCAGTATAAGGCGTCCGTGATTCTTGCGCTTGATAAACGGATATCGTAGGCATTCCTTCGCCAGGGTGGGATCAAAAAGTTCCTTCAGCAACGAAGGTTTCACTGCAGGCACAGGCGGAGGCTCCACTTTGGGTGGCTCCAGACGTGGCGTCAATTGAAAGTTAACATTCTTGCTAACAGGCAGCTCATCCAAGGTGGTTTGCTCAAAGGCCATATTATCAGCAGCATGACCCTTAAGCTGGTTATCTGGCGTTTCCTCGGATATTGTGGGCTTTGGCTTGATCTCCTTAAGGAATAGCATTATACAGAGAATGGCAATAATTTTAAAGACAACGGCGGAGGCAAACGAAACTAAAACAATAAACAATGGAACTATTACAAATTAAGATTATGGAGGATGATTTATTAACCCACTTATGTAGCCCAGTACGTTTAGAAGATATCCACTGAAGACTCCCAGTAAAGGAAGTCCGTTTAAAAACATTATAAAGATACCAAAGCGGGAGACGCGATCTTCCTCGGGCGTGGCTATCGTCATATAGCTATACATCGCCATTACACAAAGTGTCTGACCGCCACAGACCGCGGGCACAATCGCCTCCAAGTACATTCCGAACTCCATGGGCAGACTATCGAAGAATATGGCCGAAATGATTAGACCTGCAAAGTACTTCACATTAATCTAAACTGGATATCAATGAGTTTCATGGATCACTTACAGATAAATGACACAGCTTCACCCACGATGGGTATAATCATGCAAGGTTTGCGTTTGTTGAATTTGTCCGCCCAGCCTCCGGCGAAAAGCATGATAATCAATGTAAATATGGCAGCTAGGGGATAGATAAGAAAGAATTCAATACATCTCTGGAAGTACATTAAGATAAGGTTTAGTTTAGATTTGAAACTTGTTATGCCTCTACTTGTCGCCCGGCTCACGAATGGAAATATTTCATGGGGTCTGTTTCATACATGCATACAGCCATACATTCAGACATGATTTCATACAATCCAACAAAGATATACCCTGCTCTCGGTACAAAAGTAGAACCTGAATTTATGATTAAAGTTATGCGAATCGCTGGCCAAACTGGTTGCCCTTACGTAGACTATCTAATTGGCGATATTTAACTGTGTGATATTTACCTATGGGCGCACGTTTTCCCGAAACATCGGCGAACAGCTGCTGGACCTTACAATCGGCTTCGCAGACCGTATAATTGAGTCCCGTCAAGTCCACGTCCAGCAATGTTTGGTCCATCCAGGCGCAATCGTGAGTGTTTTCGAACTCATAGCTATCGCAATCGATGCCCAATTCCGCTTTATCCAACATGGCCATGCAGGTGGCTTTGTTGTAGCCGAGGTTGACGCGACATGCCTTCTCCAGTGGAAGGTTCTTAATGGCTACATCGTTGAGTATGTTTGCCATTAAATAGAAGAAGAAGGATAACTCGATTACCATGTAACGACGATAGCGCCAAATCTTTTGCATATAATTCAACTTGAGTTCCGGCTCCGGCGCCGGCTCGGCCGTAGTTTTATGTGTTATTTCCATATTTGAAATTTTGATTCTTATGAGAAGCTCGACAACACGATGCACCAAGCTCTAAGCTTGAACTGTCGTCTGATCAGTCAGAACAACGGCTCATAAAAACGTGCGAAAAACTAGTTTAGTTAAATTGCTCGATTCTTTCACTTCGTTTCGTTTCTGAGAGATTTTAGAATTATTGGCACAATGATGATGACGGCAGTTTGATCTGCTTTCATTCTCGCTGGCCCACCTTCTCTTGATGAAGATTTGGACACCGGTTTAATTTTCGAGCACTTTTCAATTATAACAATAATTACTGTAAGTATAGCCAAGGTCGGCAGTCGTAGACGGATTAGGAGCTTCCGTTTCTGCCTTGCGTGATTTAAGAAATTACCTGAATTTGTTAAGCTAGATTAATGAACTAGTTGCGTACAAAACGGTTTCAGTAGTTACCTCAATGACCATTAATATATATATATACATATATGTACCTACTACTTTGTTAGTAGTAGACTCTAGACTAAGTTAACTTAAGGCAGGCCTACGTGTGCACACACACACATGGAAACAGCACATCGCAGCGCCAAGCTGCAGAACCTACCTCAACAACCTCCAGCCAACGCTGAGCAGCAGAGCCGATCAAGAGAAAAGAGCCCGTCCGAAGCAGCAGAGCTAGCCGTAGCCAGTCCCACCGCAGCAGAGGCGATGAGGCTGGGGGTTTGGGTGCTTGGACAGCTTTTATCGAGGCAGAAAAATATTGACTGTGATTATTTATTTATTTATTTATTTATTTATTGTTACCAAAAATTAATTCTAAGTAACAATTTCTTTAAGCCAGAGCGACAAAGGCCTTCAGGCATGTGATTATTAGTTGCCAATTGTTTCCCATGCGTGGCCAAGGCGGCATTTAGCACCCAGTGGGGCCACGCCCATCACCCACCAGCACTTCGGCTGGCTGATCAAATTGAATGCATTTGCTGATTGGAATCCTTGCCACATGCTGTCGAGCCAGCAGCAAGTAGTTGAGGTAAAAGTCAAAGTTAAGGAAGGGTTACGGCATCTGTTTTCTAATACCCTGTAAGCAATTGGTAATGGGTAAAGCAAAGGGTACAGTCAGCAGAAGTATAACTACGGTATTCTATATTGGTCGATTAACACAATGGAGCCTTCACAGTTGACATTCACAAACTATCATCCTTACGCTTATCGATAATTATCGACTGGTGTCAGTTGGGTTTATGATTATAATCTATGCGGATTAAGTTCAAAAAGCACTGGCCTGCGAGCAAATACCTGAAATACTGAAATCCATGCTAAGTTGCTGTAAATGAAAATGAGCATAGGAATCAAATATACATATGTATACACATATGTATGCAAGTTGTATTCGATAAAATTTAGGTATATTGAGTTCCCTGAATGATTTATGTACATACAATTTATACAGGGCAGCTTATAGTCTATCAACAACTGAAGACTCTCTCTAAGTTATTTTTATTGCAAGTACATCCCAGAAATTCATTTGCCCGGCAGCAAAGACGTTGGCTTAGCTTAACCTAACTCACTTAACCAAAATAAAACCACAAATCTAGAAAATGGATTATATATACAGTTATATATAGAACTTATGCAATGTCTGTCTATGGGGAAAAGGTAGCATATGTAGATTCGTATAGGGGGATTCTAATTGGCTCATAGACTAGTAATCTCTGTGCCATTGGCAGCATCCGCCTGGCCATTGCCTTCGTTATTTTGGGCCAGTTCCACGGAATTCTTTTGCTCTTTGGACTTCCGATGACGCAACACGAAATAACAAAGGCTGCGGAAAAATAACAGATTACAGACAACATTTGTAACATTTCCAAGGTTCCTTAAAAACTTACACAAAGACTAGAACATTGGGCACATAGAAGATTTCGCCAAACAGAAAGAAGGCGCCTGGAAATGACTCCACTGTATTTTGGTAGATCAGACTGTAAATGGGTGGAAATATGAATTGGCCAATCGGTTCGCTGATGCCAAAGATGGAATACATTTTGCCTGAAAAACAATATAATAAGGGTAATTTAAAAACATAAAGTCCATTGATTAGAACTCACTTAGCTCATCTCCCTCCACAATGCTACTGCCAATGGTTTTGATGGCAATGACTCGCAGACTTACAAACATGTCGACGACGCAGGCCACATAGAACGACGTGGTGTCAGTGGCAAGAGCCTGGAGAAATACAATTTTGATATGATTCCATTTAAACCAATTCTAGGTGTACATACAAACATCACACGGGAACAGACAATAGCCAGGGCGGAGAGAATTCCAATGGAGGGATCCGAGAACTTGAGCAACTTGCTAAGAATGGCAGTGCCTATGAAAGTACCCAATAGAGCCGCCAGCCCGGATAAGGTCAAAAAAATGGAGAAGTCATTGCCATTCCAATTCAACTTCCTCAGGGTGAAGCGATACCAATAGTCATTCTCAGCCGAGCTTGGGCCAATAGTAAGAAAATAGGCCAGAATCAGCAGAAGTAGTAGAAGGCGTCCGTTATTCTTGCGCTTGATCAACGGAAATCGCAGGCAGTCCACCACCAGGGTGGGATCAAAGAGTTCCTTCAACAAAGAACGTTTCACAGGCACTGGCGGCGGCTCCACTTTGGGTGGCTCCAGATGTGGCGTCAATTGAAAGTTAACATTCTTGCTAACGGGCGGTTCATCCAAGGTGGTTTGCTCATAGGCCATATTGTCAGCAGCATGATCCTCCATCGGGTTAGCCGGCGTTTCCTCCGATGTCTTGGGCTTTGGCTTGATCTCCTTGATGAAGAATACGATATAGAGTATGGCAATAATTTGAAAGACAACAGCGGAGGCAAACGAAACTAAAAAAAAAAAAACTAATAAAATGAGGACTAAGGAAGACAACTTATCCAACCCACTTATGTAGCCAAATGTATTGAAGAGATATCCACTGAAGGCGCCAAGAAGAGGAGCTCCAGTTAAAAACATAGCAAAGATGCCAAACCGAAAGATGCGATCCTCTTCGGGTGTGGAAATCGTCATATAGCTATAGATCGCCATCAAACAGAAGGTCAGACCGCCACATACCGCGGGCACAATCGCCTCCAAATACATTCCGAACTCCATGGGCAGACTATCGAAGAAAATGGCCGAAATTAGGAGACCTACAAAGTAGTTCATATAAATCTAATCTGCTCATAATCGAGTCCAATGGCCCACTTACAGGTGAACATTAAAGCTTCACCCACGATGGGTATAATCATGCATGGTTTGCGCTTGTTGTATCGATCCGCCCAGCCTCCGGCGAAGAGCAGCACAATCAATGGAAATATGGCAGCTGAAGGATAGATAGAATATGGTATGATTAATCTTAATATCATATATATATGCATATATGCACTCTATGCTAATTAATAAGCCGTTATGTTATACCATACTAACTCAGATGAACACCATCATGATGATCATAGTATCGTAGATGATGACACGTTTAGACTTTACATATTTCATCACGAAATTAATGGACCCTCTGTTGACTCGTGCAATCAATCATATGTAAGTACCCGATGGACCACTTTAGTACAGACTTCTTCTTCTCATACAAATGTCTACTCAGAGACAGAAATGCGAATCGAATTGGAATTTAATAGCTGCACAATGCCCAAGGCAATTTAATTTCTATTTTTCTGCTGCATAGCTGATGCAATAGTTGTCAATACATGTTTTATTGTCATTTAATCAAATGACTTTATAAAAAAAAAACAATTTCTGAGGCATTGGCAATGACAATGACAGAACGCGTTAAGGCTAAATATAAAAAAATAAAAAAATTGCCAAAAGCGTATGTATAAAGAAAAAAAATAAATAGAATCTAAAATGTGTAACGAACCGGTTTTTAAAGAGAATAGTTAAGCGCAGAGTTTAAAATTTAGGTGTACGAATATAAATTATGTAAGCGAGAAGAATGCCAAGCATTTGAAAGAAATCAAATTCGTATTAAATTCTGAATGGGGAAACCTATATGTATACATGATATGTGTATATATGATATGTACATATGTACATACAAATAAACAGTAAACGTAGTATATGCATATGCTTACCGAATGAATGTTGATTTTATATAAAAGTAATAATAATAAATAATAATAATAAAGCTCAGAACCTGAAGATATGATTAAAGCTATGCGAATCGCTGGAAAAACTGGTTGCACCTGCTTTGACTACCTAATTGGCTAAATAATTGAGATAAAAATAGATGTGTGAGATTTACCTATGGGCGCACGTTTTCCCGAAACATCGGCGGACAGCTTCTGGGCCTCCACTTCGGCCTTGCAGACCGTATAATTGAAGCCTGTCGAATAGACGTCCAGCAAAGTTTGGTCCATGGATGCGCCATCGGTAGTGTTTTCGAACTCATAGCTATCGCAATCGATGCCCAATTCCGCTTTATCCAACATGGCCATGCAGGTGGCTTTGTTGTAACCGAGGTTGACACGGCATGCCTTCTCCAGTGGGAAGTTGGCCATGGCCACCTGGTTGAATACGGATGCCATGAAGTAGAAGAAGAAGAATGGTTCGATCACCATGTAACGACGATAGCGCCATAGTTTTTGCATATAATTCAGCTTGGGCTCCGGTTCCGGCTCCGCCGCTGTATCATTTGTTTTTGCCATGCTTGAAATCTATTTTTTACGCTTCTACTTCGATTCTCATGTTAAGCTCGCCAACACGTCGCGCCAAGTTCTAACGTGCAACTGTCGTTTGATCAGCTCGAGAAACGGCTCGAATGCGTACAAGAAACTTGTTTAATTAAATTGCCGATTCTTTGTTTTCGGTTCATATCGGTTTGATACACAGATATTGGAATTTCTGTCACTGTGATGAGAGATGCGCCTAGCGTTTTGCATGCGAGAGAGCGTACTCCGCTCTCATTTCTAGCTCGCTCTCTCGATCACAATATCTGAATGCGAAATATTTGCGGTTGCATTAGGAATAACAGCTCTCAAATATACTTAAATTATAAACTTTATTATGAACTTAGAGCTATGCGTGCGAACAAAGCCAAGGTCGGCAGTCGTAGACGAAGTTGGCATTTCCGTTCCCGCTGTTATTCCGTCCAGCGATGAGTGCAGTTCTGATTGGTGCACACATAGTACAGTCGCATCTCCTCTTCGGCACGTCGGGTTTGCGCCTGGAAGAAAACGGCTTCGCGATGCGAGCATTTGGGGCATGCATGGTCTTCAGTGCGCGGCAGTGTCGGATCGGATATCACATCGGGCACAATGTGAGTCAGTTCGTCGATTTCGTGCATAATCTTGTTCACATATATGCAATTGGAGTCGGCTTCCTGTTTGTAATCGCAATTGCGGCATGCATACATTAATGTTTTGTTGTCCTTGTCTTCTTTAGGATACAACATGTTGTTACATTCTTGACAGAAACGTATGCCTACAAAGCCGGGGCCTTCGGTATGTGCGGAGTCAAATAAGCCAGCCATTATATCTACAATAATTATAAATATTTAACGATAGTCTGTCTTGAATATTTACACAAACTTACCTCGCTTTGTGTAGCTAGCAGCAATACTAATGGTAGAATAACGATAGCTTACGATAAGTCTAATATCACTGTTATCGAATAGTTACGCTTAAAAATATTTTAAAGTCGTAAGTCAGTCACTGTTACATTGTTGATTTCTTGATTTCGTGGATTTTTATTTAATCACAGAACTGAAATATGTTTACCAATTAAACAAACGTTAGAAATATAACAATATTTACACTTAAAATTTATATCTCGTTTGGTTGCAGCTCTAGCAAAATAAATGAAAAATGCCTATATAATGATATCATATCTGGTCACTCTTATTTCGGCACAGCTGTTTGCCTGTCTACGAACATTGTGAATAGTCAGACGCTAACGCCATTGTGTACGCTTACGTGCCGTTGCACGAGCTGTAAACTGTGAGTGAATTGTATTAATAAGCGGATGCAAAAGTATTCAAATGTTTTTGTTTTTTTTTTTAATTGAGAATTTGGCAAAGTAAAAGTATAAACACTCCGTCTCCAGTCAGTGTGAATAACAAAAACGAGTGTATGACAAACCTACGCTATCTCTCTCGCTCTCGCCAACTGTTTTGCCTATACATCTGTTGCATCTCGTTACAGTCGATCAGATCGACGACTTCAGACGACGTATGACTTTCATTGGCGCAAGTTTCACATTTAATTAGAGAAACTACACTGCTGTGTATGTGTGTGTGTGTGTGCATGCGTATTTTTGTAACGCAAATGTAAAATAAAGTCGAATTTAAATCGGCTAATTGGCATTGAGTAGTGTTGAAATTATTGTAGAAACGAGATTCCTTTAAAGCCGGCAACAAAAATATTCAATATTGAAAAGTATGCAACAAATTTCAAAATCTTATATTCGAATTATTTTCAACCCTAAATATATTTTTCACAAACAGCTACAGAGCGAGAGAACTTGTTGCGTTTCTTTTTCTTTTTGTCGTAACGAGGCACGTAGCGTGCTCTCGCTCGCTCTCGCTGTAGATCGGTGGCTAGCCGCCATTTTTATTGTGCGCTGCTTCTAGGCGTTGCTGACGTGACGCTCTGGCAAAGTGATCAATTGAAAATAAATCACGAGCCTGAAAGTAGGCTAACTTACGCAACGGCCCTGATCCTTGGTGTCCTGCATCTTTTCACAGATATCGACAATGAGCGCCAGCAAAGACGCCGCCGGTGCAGCACCTGCCACCAGCAAAGAGGCGAGCACACCCGTCATCAGAGTAATGGACGTGGATAAAATGGTTTCGCTGAAGGCGAAGCGAACTGGCACACGAATGAAGCTACTCAACGATGTGGCCGCAAAGGCCACTCGACCCAAGCAGGAGAAGCGCACCAGTATCAAGATACTCAACAACGATGAAGCCCAGGGCAGCTCGAAATCCGGTGAGAAACGTGCCACGCCCAAAGCTGCCAGTCCAGGTGTGAAAATACTAAACGAGAAGCGAATTGGCCCCTCTGCCGCAGCAATGGAAACGGCCAAGATAAAGACATCGCCCAGCAAGAAGAAGAAGATGGACCACTACGTCCTGCAGGCCATCAAGAGCGAGAACAGCAAAGCGGACAACACGACAAGTGTCGTGGTGGTCGAGGATGATGACACCATTGACTTCATACTGGCCGACGACGATGTTGAGCTCGGCGATGCCGCCAAAGAGAATGGCGAAGAGTTTGTGGTGTCTGGTGTCGAGGATGATGATGACGACGATGACGATGATGATGACGATGAGGATGGACCAGGCGGCGGTGCCAGCGGAACAAAGCGCAAGAGCGGCAACAGCAACAACAACAACAACGAGCTCAAAGAAATGGTCGAGCACGTGTGCGGCAAATGCTACAAGACATTCCGTCGCGTCAAGAGTCTGAAAAAACATTTGGAGTTCTGTCGCTACGACAGTGGCTACCATCTGCGCAAGGCGGAGATGCTGAAGAACCTAGACAAGATTGAGCGCGACGCCGTAGTTATGGAGAAGAAAGACATCTGTTTCTGTTGCAGCGAGAGCTACGATACCTTTCATGTAACTGCAATTCCATTCCCAGTCTAAATTATACCTAATTGCCATTTGATATCCCTTTCCAGCTGGGCCACATCAACTGCCCCGACTGTCCCAAGTCGTTCAAAACGCAGACGAGCTATGAGCGTCACATTTTCATCACGCATTCGGAATTCAACGATTTTCCATGCTCCATTTGCAATGCCAAGCTGCGCAGCTCTGCTCTGCTGAAGTTGCACGAGCAGCAGCACCAGTCCAGGGGCAAGCCCTTCGCCTGCAAGATCTGCGGCAAGGACTTTACGCGCTCGTATCATCTTAAGCGCCATCAGAAGTATTCGTCGTGCTCGGCCAACGAGAACGACACCATGAGCTGCAAGGTCTGCGACCGCGTCTTCTATCGCTTAGACAATTTGCGCGCCCATCTCAAGCAGCATCTGGGCACCCAGGTGGTGAAGAAGCCGGAGTACATGTGCCACGTGTGCAAGAACTGCTTTTACAGTCTGTCCACGCTCAAGTGAGTCGTCCTGAATGGACTGCTGTTCGCGTCAATATCTAATTCCCTTGTTACTCTTTCAGCATTCACATACGCACACATACGGGCGAAAAGCCGTTCGATTGCGATCTGTGCGACAAGAAGTTTTCGGCTTTGGTAGCGCTCAAGAAACACCGGCGCTATCACACGGGCGAGAAGCCCTATACCTGCACAGTGGTATGCAGCTGTTGTAAATTGAGTACTTGGAGTCCTGATTAATTCTTATTGTCCTTCTGCATTCACAGTGCAGTCAATCCTTTGCGGTGAAGGAGGTGCTCAATCGCCACATGAAACGGCACACGGGCGAGCGTCCGCACAAGTGCAACGAGTGCGGCAAAAGTTTCATACAGGCCACACAGCTGCGCACGCATTCCAAAACGCACCTGCGTCCCTACTCCTGCTCCTTGTGCATTCAGAAGTTTAAGACAGAGAAACAGTAAGTGGGACGCAATCTATTCAATCTCTTATCAGTAGTTAAGCTCATACTCTTAACACAGGCTCGAGCGCCATGTCAAGGAACACTCGCGTCAGAAACGCCCCTCGTTTCCCTGCACCGAATGCACACGAAGTTTCCGCACCAGCGCACTGCTCAAGGAGCACATGGACGCTGGCGATCATTCGCGTAAGTTTCCTGATCATATCTCATGCAATATCTGTCGCTTATTGATTTCGAATAATTGTGGAATACAGCTGCTAAGCCGACTCGGGCTAAACGTTCGGCCAAGGTGATCGAGCGCACGGACTGTGCCATTTGTGACAAGAACTTCGACAGCACTGACACTCTCCGTAATCACATACGCAATGTGCACGAGTGCGATCCGGATGATATTTTCGGCACAGAGCCCCCTGCCAAGCGCAAAGCTACCAAAAAGACCGTCGTGCTGGCCGATGACGAAGAGGAGGCGAACGAAGAGAAAGACCAGAATAAGGAAACGCCGGCTGCCAACACATCCGCTGGGTCACTTATCTCCAGCAAAACGGACGACAACGGAGTCGTGGTGCGTGAGTTCTTGGTGGATGAGGGCGATGGCAATGCTCAGACCATTGTGCTCGAGAACGAGGTGTACACCATATTGCCCTTGGAGGGTGCGGCCAGCACAGCCGAACCGACGGCTGAAGGCGGCGATGTCAAGGCCGAGTCCAAGGAGAAGCCACAGTCGGCTGTGTCGCCGACTGTCAAGAAGGAGCAGCGTAAATCCTTGGCCGCCAGCTTGGCCGCTGCAATTGCGGATAATCTGGATGATCCGTCAAGCGACGATGAGTTCAACGGCGAGGTTCTCACAGAGGAGGATATTAAGTTGAAGGAGAACATTGCGAAACTAATCGATATGCTGGTCGATCCGCAGACACTCAAAAAGTACGACTGGCCCAACAGCTCCGAGGAGTCGGTGTTGTGCAAGGTCATCGAGAATTGTGGACACGATCTGGCCAAGGGCAGCGAAGCCTATGCCGAGTTGGACTACGGCAGTCGCATGCGTGAATACTGCAAACTCCTGTTCACTGTGGTCATTCACAATGATTCCATTAAGGCGCTGCTCAACAACTTTCCCATCGACGATGTTATTGAGTATGTGCTAGGCGATGAGGACCAGGACCAGGACCAGGAGCAGGACCAGGATCAGGAGACAGACAAGGGCAAAGAGAAGGAGCATGATGGAGACAAATCGGACTCGGACAATAGACAGGATGAAGCTGACGCAGCTGAGGCCTAGCATTTTTCTGCATCCTGTTTGTAAATACACGTAGAGGGTATTCACCAGTCGGGCAGCATGACATACAATTCTTTATGCATGAAAAGGACAATAGCCTCTGCTGGGAAGTACCTAAATTATTTAATTTGTTTAAGCATGTTGGTTTCGGTTTGAACGCTAAGTGACCTTAAATAATGAACGATTATCATGTACCACCCACTGAACTGTTATTTACAATTTACATGCGATATTTCTATATACTATTTTTTTAAAAGCAATCTATTAAATATATACACACAAATATATGCATGTACATTCTCATTTGAGTCAATCTATATCCTATGTTGAGTCAACATTCGATCTGAAAAAGTTATAGCTTGAAGGCGTGGGGAGAGATATTTGAGTATAGATTTATTTACCCGACGTACTGCAGTTATAACATTTCTAGGGACTATTATAGACTAGTACACTCTATTATACGAGGGTAGCCTGAAGAAGCACAAGCTGCCTACGCATTTGTAATTTATTATATCAGTGCTCCATCAGCATTTTGAGCAGTCGCTCGTTGTTCTGCAGAATCTTCTGACGACTCTCGTCGACCAGGTCCTTGTACTCGTCAATGCTGGCCTCAATGGAGAGCAGCTGCTGCTTCATGGGCTCCGTTGCGGAGGCCGTGAGGCTTCTCTCCCGCTTTAGCTCAGCCGCTGCTTGGGTGTAGGCCTCCCGCCACATGGTCAGCTCCAGCTGCATGGCATCGATGTCCTCGGGCAAGAAGTCCAGAAGCTTACCCAGCGGATTCACGGACTTGGTGAGGGTCTGTATGATATCCCGTAGATCGTTCACT